ATATGTCTATTCTGTGATTTTATATGATTTTTTGAACATATGCCGTTTTTGGTCGAAAACTCGGAAATCATGACGTCACTAAAACCTCGATATCTCAAAAATTTTCCGACCGATTTTTTTGAAACTTTGTCACAATAAACTTCAATCAATTCCCTACAGGTACCGAAAATTTGGCGCGCCTGCGGCGCGCCGTTTTAATGCTATGGCCCGGCGAAAAAAGTGGGGGCGTTTAACGCCCCCCCCCCCAGCAACTCGCGGGATAAAATGAATGTCACCATCGTGTTCTACGCCCAAAAGTACCCATAAAACATGTGTCATGCATGGGCTGCGAATAGGTACCAGTTTTAATTTTCGGGGTTATGTGCTTACCTGATTGACCTGACTTTGACCCTGGCCAGTGGCCTATGTTTGACTGACCCCTACATTGATCTGACACTCTTTTAGCACTTATATGAAGGGTTGTGACAGTCGTGACAGTTGTGACAGATTGTTTAGGACCAACTGATGACTGAATTTATTTAGGACCAACTGATGACGATATAATCGAAACGCGAAACGCGAGGCACCGATGACCGATTGCGAGGTTCTAAAGTCCATGCTACTGAAAGCCCGATTTCAAGTGTTTGACCTGACCTTGACCCGACCTGTGACCTCGAAATTCAACTTTAAAGTATTCATGTGAATCGTCTCGTCGCGTTCTTCTTTCGTTTGCCGCGCCTCGTGCGTTTCGCTGCGCCTATTTGTTCGCGAGTTATCGGCTGGGGGCGTTGAACGCTCCCCCCCCCCGGCAAACGGCGGATGGGGAAATACCCCAGCAACTGCCGGGTTAATCTGACGCATGTTTTGTCATTTGATCGTCATTTTATTTCTTACTTTTTTGCCCAATCTAAAAAAAATCATAAATACTCTTTCTCCAAATTTTTAACCCTTTATGACCAATAGTAAGACACTGTGCGTCACTACGTTGATATTTCTCGCCCTAAAGCATAACAACAATATCCATTCAGTAATAGCAGTATTCAAAACATGTTCAAAATGCCTTGCGATATCGATAACATAACGAAAGACATAGGCGACTTATAACATACTTGCAATGATGACGTCACACACGCGTGACGTGACGTGACCTCGTCATTTCTAAGTTACTGTATGATGCACGAAAGACACTGGTATACCTATGCAAAGTTTCATCGCAGTCGGTCTACGCATTAACAAGTTATGGGCAAAACATTTTTTCGTGTTGACCCCCGGCCATCCGTGAGGCCGTTTCCAACCATAGTGCAGCGGGGCGCAAAGCCGGAGGACGATCTAGTTTCGCGGTCTGCGCGACACTCGAGTGGTTTGGATGCACTCGGCCAAATGGGTTTCTGTGCGATGAAGGATATCAGTGAATATGACACATTGTCGCTTACGGCTGAAACACATTTCGAGGGCTGTTTGGTGGTGTCCTCTGTGTAATCTATGCCTTGATCCCGGTGTTGCTGTGCGGACCGCTCTGGGGCGTGCCCGCGGTGTCGCCGCTCTGCGCTGTGAGTTGGACGTTCTAACGCGCGCCGCCGCGGTGTTCCGGCGCCGCTGAGGTGGTCTGATGGACACCGTAGGCCGGGCGCCCTCGCCGACAGGACGCACCGCCACGCTGAGAACGCTGCCTTTCAGCGGCGCTAATCCAAAAAGCTGCTGCATTATTCATAGCCACTCAACTTGTCCGCGCGCTTGCAATCAAAACTTGTCGGGCTTAGCGGGCGGCAATAAAAATGTATGCCTTCCTGTGTGGTGGCAGTGCTGGTCGCGGTGGTTGAACGCCGGCTCGGGGGAGACTGGTCCTGTATCACCTTATTTGTCGCCGTCGTCGCTCAGCAGAAAAGTTATCAGTCATGCGTGTTTTTTCAAGGTCTTTGATACGTACTCCTGTAAAGTATGTTTGCACAGTAAACATGCTAACGTGACGATAACATTTTGCTTTGATTTTTCCTTTTGCATATTCGTGATTTATGTGCGGAAGAGCCTGCACAGGTTTCACGGGCTCTTTTCAAGCTTGGTACGGGAACATATTTCATTGCATTCAATGTTTGCCTACACTTTTCTATTAGTACTACATAGCAGACGCGTTTACGTGGTATGAATTAATTTCGCAAGTACGAATCATACAAGTGAAACGAATACGATCCGCACTGCCTGGATCAGTGGATCCGGCGCGTGAGCTGTGCGGGGTCGGTGGGATTCAGCGTCTGTGATGCCCTGGGTCGGTAGACCCGGCCCGTGCGCCGTCCGGGGTCCGTTGGATCCGGCCCGTGTGGCGTCGGTGGTCGGTGGACCCGGCATGTGTTCTGCCCGGGATCCGTTGGATTCACATCCGATCTCCTGTCTGTGGCGCGCACACGCAGCTCCGTGCAAGAGGCTGCTGGAGACCGCGAATGGTAACTCACCGGATAACGGATATGAACGGTGTATCGGAAAGAGCTGCAGACTCTACCAATAGACAACAGGCAGCCATGTGCATTGAGCATTGTGCATCGACCTGAGAATGGATGTGGGTTCGGCTCCATGGATATTGATCGCGAATGCGGTGGGATCATAGATCCATCTTTTCTTCCACCTTGCCGAAAGACCAGCTGGTGTTATGAGCTGTGTCTAGCTTATGGCTTTGTCTAGGAATGAAGTATAAATCCCAAAATGATTGTTCTGTATTTTATGTTATAGAGCTGGTGTCATGACCTGCCTGGCTTATGTACAGGGTGTCTCAAAAGTTCGCTTACACATTTCCCATGTCAATAAAGCATATAAGAACCGGCCAAAAATCTAAGGTTTTGGTGTCCGTGTGTACACTAGACAAATATGCATGCTTTGACAATTGATTCGGAAGGTTTGAAACCAAACCCTTTGCTGTATCTCCAAAAATATTTGCCCATACCGATTTTCGTCACTCCGTCAGCTGCCGGAGGCTGATAAAAGGTTACCAGCTTTCAAGCTCTTGTAGGGGAATCCCCCGCAGTTTCTGCGTCGGATTTAGGTTTGACGAGCTCCCCGGCAACATCCGCTTCTCCCTGAAAGCCGATAGCTTGCATCGACACCATCCGTGAGTATTTTGTAGGTCTTCTCTGGCGCTAACTCCTTCATGAATGACTGGCGCCGACCTCCCAAGCACCATTTTCCTTTTCAAAACAACCCCATTCCTGAACAAATGGGAAGTGCCAGGGGCAAATTTTTCGCAGCATATCGTAGCAGAATGTGTCGGCCGTCTGTTTCTTAGACACATTTTGCAAAATTTGCAAATCCCGAACGCTCGTCATTCCCAATGCCAAGACCTTCGCTGGGTTCCGGAGTGTTTTCCTCAGGAGAGGTTCTGCTTCGTAAACGGCCAAAACCTGTCCATCGTGCGGTTTTGTCCGGATTTTGTGTGTAAAAGAAAGCTATTTGCTCCAGATCTGCCTCTTGAAACTTCGTTAGATAAAACTTTACATTAATTGACACTTTTGGAGGGTCACTTGTCCTCGGCATTGACGATTTTCGCATTATTTTCCCTCAAAATTTAGCGTTATAGATATTATAAACAATTTTAAATGATATTTTGTCTTCACTTTATGATGACCTGCAATTTTTGAAACTGGGTAACCTCTGTCTGTGAGCTTCTAGTCAGTTTTCAATAGTTAGGACTGCATTTTCAGCTGCTTTCCGGAGCACGAGTCTGCTGCGGTACAAGGGTCGTTTAAAGCGCTGTTAGTCTCGCATGGTTTTGTCCTTCAAAAATTTTAGCCACCATTTTTATTAGATGACCATCATGTTGTACTCATCCTCGCCGACACTTTGCCATGTGTCATTTCCGACCTAACCATTCCCATTACTCGTGAAGCAGAGAGTTTCTCAGCCGACCCGAGTATGCGACCTCCATTTTCATGCCTGATCCATGGTCAGAGGTGAACCCTTTTTGTGTGCTCATGAAGGGTCGAATGCGCTTGAAAACAATGAAGCTGCTTGAGGAAGGTTGTTACCAATGCCCATGCAAAATTTCGACTGTTAATTTCATGTTGATTCAGAATTATTGACAAAAAAGCATGGCTGGTACCTGTAAGCGAACTTTTGAGACACCCTGTATAGGAATGCAGTGACATTATAAATCCCAAAATAATTGATCTGTGTGTTATCTTACAGAATTTGTTCTGCAAATGCTTAATGCTATGCCTAGTTATTTCTGTTAGAGTTCCACTACGAGTTATCCTTATCGATATCGAGTTATCCTTCCCTCGTATATTCACAGTTAACAATTAAGAATGTTGCCGACTGTGGCTGATTTCAGCAGGAGCGCCTGAAATTATGGCTCCACGATGAACATGTTATCCGTGAGATAAGCTTAGACTATATATCCTCTGCACTTGATCCACTGCAGATCCTATGAGACATATCAGTTCCCAGCGCATTTTACCCTCGTGGAATGCAATGGGATCATATATCCTACCCTGCAATTTTGTTGTAAGGTTAACTGCAATGATGCTGATCTAACACCGAGATCTATGGAGCTGCTTAGGGTCTGTGGACGATTGAATTTATTCATAAAATGTTCATGTGTTCTTTTTGCCCAGTTTTTCGTTTCACCTATCGTGAGACAGCCGACTTCTTTTCTACCTAGTTCTTTTTAGCCCGCCTGGGACCAGAAAAGGGTTTTATTGCCGACTCCTCTTAATAAGCAGTTGACTTCAGAGCTCCCAACCGTTCTATTTTCTGTTTGTTCAGCCACACTGGTGTGCGGTGCCTGCCCTGCGTTGAGTGATGAGCATGTGTACAGCATGTGTAGTGTGTACACTGTACACGATGGCTAGGAAAGATGTATGACGCGGGTCGTGGCTCATTTCATTAGTTGCCCCGACTTCTGAGCAAACTCCCTTGAACAAACCATTTGCTTTACGGGCACCCTAGTGTCATCTCTGCATCTCATGTATCCCTGATATATTTGTATTGGTAGCTCACCCAGCAGCTAACCATTCGTTGTTCTCTGTGTTGGCCAGTTTTCCTCGTGCTGCCGTACTTCAACGAGCCTGACGTGCTGCGAAATCTGCCCGGCCTGCACATGACAGACTTCCGCGTGGAGTACGACAATCACAACAAGTACACTTCAGGTAGGTCGCGAACGGGCTTATTCCTACAACTCAGCGCTAGTGGACATGTATGCCAAAGAGCAATAACTGTGCGATGGCCAATACGACTCTAAGATTCGCCAATGTGATAACGTAATTCTTGGTGGTACCCCAGTGTTTCAGGCGAAGTTATCTTGATTCTTGGTATGATTGGCATGCCTGGGCGTCGCTCTGACCGGTGTGTACCTGCCCGGTACCCGCTGTGTTTGGTATGTGTCTGAGGCATGTGTCTGACCGGTGTGAACCGGTGTGTACCGGTCCGGTACCCGCTGTGTTTGGTATGTGTCTGAGGCATGTGTCTGACTGGTGTGAACCGGTGTGTACCGGTCCGGTACCCGGTGTGTTTGGTATATGTCTGACCCGCGTGTGTACCGGTCCGGTACCCGGTGTGTTTGGTATGTGTCTGACCGGTGTGTACCGGTCCGGTACCCTGTGTTTGGTATGTGTCTGCCCGGTGTGTACCAGCCCGGTACCCGGTGTGTTTGGTATGTGTCTGAGGTATGTGTCTGTCCGGTGTGAACTGGTGTGTACCGGTGCGGTACCCGGTGTGTTTGGGTTGTGTCTGACCGGCGTGTGCCCCGCCTGGCGCGTGCAGCCGCCGGTGGCAGGAAGTTCGGCTCTCCCGTGCGCCTGTTTGCCAGCGTGGCGCCACAGCTGGTGACGCTGCCGGAGCCCACCTACAGACTGTGCGCGCCGTGCGGCCGCTGGGTCCACGCCGACAACCGGCACTGTGACCGCTGCCGCAGCTGCACCTCAAAGGTACGCAGATGTCGTCTTTTTTAATGTTGAAGTAGGCCAATAGTCCAATACCGAGCTAAAACAACAGAAAATAATTTGAACGCCAAATACTAGATGAACATTTCCTGAGAATGCCATTTGTACCCTTTTTCATTGAATTATAAGTTTGCCTGTAAATGACTGGGTTAGAAGCGTGTCTGGATTTATCATTAGCGGACACCAAGTTCCGCATTATTCCCGACTGGAGGCTGTCGACAGTGTAACGCTAGTGTGCACACAGTACAACGGCAGCTACCACCCGACTCTAAGTCAGGCCCGCTGCAGGTCTCGGCGCTATTTCATACCTCGACATCGGCTACCACGACTCCGCCCATTAGCCACGCTCTCACGTAAACACGCTTGGAGAACATTGCCACAGACCGCAGCCGTTTCCCCTCGCCGGCATTGTACCTGAGCTGCTTGTCAAATAACTACTTACTGGCGTAATGATGCAGTAATGTCCCATAACGGAAAGAATCGATTCATGTTGTTAGAAAAAAAGATATATAGCGACAACCGACAAAACACACCATTACGACACTATAATTTCAATGTCATTTGCTAACGATGCAACGTTCCAAGCGATTTCTTCGGAACGCGTATATTTTGCGCAGCTGTGCCAGCCAGTGACCCTAATGGTAAACACAAAGGTGTCGAGACTGCGGCTGAAACGGTCCCTGTCTACCATAAGCAGTGCTAGCTCGTCGAAATGCTGATTTATATTTACCCGGGCACACGGTCAAGCAATGTCTAAACGAGTGTTCTTTAGCCATTCGACTCCGTGTCATATTGTGGCAAAGACCCCAACAAACGCACCACATTCAAAGACTCGGACGCACCAAATTATCTTTCTTCCACGGATCCACCTTTCCGAGACTCCCGTATGTGAGTTAAGCCATCTATCCGGATAGAGAACATCCAACGCATCAAAGCACCATTGGTCTCCGATTCCATGCAACGGTCATTCACACAGTACCAATCAGTAGCGCTGCGGCCGCCGTGCCTCTTTCAGTAGGTATTGGTGTTCGTAAACCGTTTCTGTGTTACGTCGTCTTTTTATTCATACATTTAGTTGTTATTGACGGCCCGTGGCGGGACGAACATGGTTTCTTCTAAACCGTCCATAGCACTGGCACACTTTCTGGTCACTGTTCGATAAAATGGGTACCGTTGCACAAAAAAAAAAACAATCCTGTGTATACTGTTCTGTAAGGAACGTTGTAGGGCGTAGGCCCGTCCCTGACTACACCCATACCGGCCGGTGTTGTCTGTATGCGCCGTTGGTACCGGTGCAGTGTGACAGCGCCTCGGATGAGTGCCGTCACCAACACCGGTCTACGGGGATACCCGCGCCCGCACGCGGCGACAGCCGAGTGCCAACCACCCACCGGCCCAGGGTTACCCAGAGACGGTGCACTTTGGGGAGTCGCACACCGTGAAATGAGAAACGGGCTGGCTTTGCGCCTGAAGTGAGTGGGCGGACGGCCTGTTGTCGACACTCGCTGGATCCGCTGAGCCGGGAAAATGGGCTATTTTCAGTTGTGCTTGCCTTTAGATCAGCGCATTTACCCGTTTTTGGACAATCACCAAGCAGCGCCGCTGCTGGAAATGATACACTCACCAACGAAAGCAATACAGCATTGGGCACAGCTAGAGCCAGGTTTTCGATGCATAGCAATGCCGTGCAGTTTCAGTTGTGAACGAAAGCAGTCATCCAGGGTGAAGGTGAGGAGTAGGCTGGTCAATCAATGGTCATATTAGGCACCTCTCGGCTGTCCTATCGAGCTGTTCGCTCTCTGATCGACTGCCCAAAGGTGCCCTCCCCTGAAAAGTGCGCATCTCCTACAACAATTAATGACGCGCTCTTTCCGTTAACTACTCGGTAGGTCCCAAAAGGCATTCCCCTGCTTCGTCTACGCCTTTTCAGCGTTCCTAAGAAGCACGGTTCTTCTGCGTCTCTTTTGCTGTTGGATACTGGATGCGGGTCGGCGTGTTCGCTGCGCCGAGGTATTTTGAGCAGCCCCCTCCCACCCGACCACTTTGTCTGAGGATGGATTTCCCGTCCGGAACAGCCCGTGTTTGGAGACTGTAAGCCGCTGCCGAAGCGTTAGTGCACATTGTGTTTGCGGTAGTGTCGACAAACAGTGTGTCGGCCCGGGACGGACGGACGGCGCGACCCCCTAATGCCCTGCAGTATCAAAACACGGCGCGCCGGGAGCGGGTAGCGGCGCCCGGCCGCGCGGCGTACTTGCACCCATATCCGGAGATCCTTATCACGTCGGGGCTCAATTACCCGTCTAATGCGGAGATTGGGCTCAATTTAGATCGGCGCTCGGGCTTATTTAGGGTGCAGATTCCTAAGCGACTTTCATAAGGCGCGGCTTTACGCTTAATCCCGGAACTTAGACAGAGGTCGTTTGGAGCTACAAATGATCGTCATGTTCCATGGCTCAGCGGGCGACGCGAGTTGTGCAGGAAACCGGCCTGGCGCGCTCACTTCATATACACTGTGGAGTTCTAGGTTGACATTAATTTATCTAACGGCATTAACATTTGGTGCTCCATTTAATGACTAACTGAACATTCTTTGTTATTAAATGTGGCTTTTTTTCTTTTTCTTTTTTACGAAATGCGAGCTTGTTTATGCTCATCTAGTTTCCTCGAACATCATCCATCAGCGATAAACGGAATGGCGTCGTCAACAACTATGCGACGCAGATGAACAAAACAAATGGCAGAATAGCTACGCAAGCTGCATTTGATGTTCCGAAAATGAAATTGTTGAAATAATAGTTCAGTTTTAGTGACCAATACCTCATAGAACTATCATTATGTGTTAAAATATTATTATTGTCCACAGTCCATACATTGTGAATTTCGTGTGGCAATACCAATCTTCGATGATGCATATATGGAGACCGCCGCTGCCCAATGTGCTATAGCAGGATGTACAGTAGGTCTACTAAAAAAGTCCCCCGCTCCAGAGGCGGCCGGCCGGCCGAACCCCCGGATTCCAGCCCCGACTCTATTGCGCAGACCGCGGCAGCGACACGGGTCAGGTCGCGGCGCCCGGCGAGTGGGTCAGTTGGCGGCGGCCGGCTGTGGAGTGAGGATGCCGCGTGTGGGGCGCAGAGATGCCGCAGTGCAGAGGAGGTGAAGATAGTGACTCTGCACGATGCGGGAAATGATGCCTTTGTGATCTAAATTAAACACCTTCAGTGCATATCCTCCCTTGCCACATTCCTATTTTATCATAATCCTTCAATAATCCGTAATGACTACATACCATTCAACGCAAGCAAGCAAACAAAACAACCCGTTTAGCGGCGACATCATCTCGGATAAAAAAGCCACAGTGATGATTAGAATAAGACTTAGCGCGAGGGCAAATCGAGGGGTATATATGTATCACATACCGAGTATTTTATTCCCATCTAGCGAATTAAGATTGGGGGTCTTGTCCAACAAGTCAGCGGCCGTTCTAGACACAGATAAATGCTTTGTTTTCGGTCGCATCATTATCTGCAATAATTCGAAGCGAGATTTAACCCTCGCCGGCCGAAAAGAAGGGGTGGATGCCGCCACCATGTATTTTTTGCGGTAGCTCAAAGCACACTGATGATAGAAGAGTGACATTTCATATGCCTCACATTTGATTCAAGCCGGATCATTTGACATCAGCCACGTTTTCAAGTCAGGTCACTTAACTATGACGTCTTAACCCTCGCCGGCCGAGGGGGGGGGGGGCGGGTGCCGCCCCCCCCCCCCCATAGGGTTTTTTCGCGATAGCTCCAAACACGCTGGCGGTAGAGAGCTAAAACGTGGCATACCTGACCCTTGATTCAAGCCGGATCTTTTGACACCAACCGCATTTTCGGGTCAGGTCAGGTCACTGACCTATGACGTCATAAGTAAACCTCTGCACGGTCTTCAGATGTCGCAACTTCGCAACGCCCTCACTGCCAGAGGAGCTTTCACAGGGAAATGAAACCTGCAAGATCTATGTAGTATCCATTACGAGTCCCACAACTTGAATATCTCGGTTTTTTCCTAACGGTCATATGAGGTCAGGTCATTTAAGTCAATGACCTGACAGCCGACAAGTCAGGTCATTATAAGTCATAATGACCTGTCAGGTCATTATAAGTCAATGGGGAAAAATGAAAATTGCTATTCTGGCGCCGGGAACAATCTCCAACTATCTCAAGCACACATAATCGTGATTTGATGCACTCCTTGCAAGGTTAGATGCGTCACTTTTGCAATGTTGACCTTGCGTGACGTCATTTATGACGTCATCAAGGTCATATTAGATTTTCGTCAATAACTCCCGATCAAATTGAGCTAGCGAGTCGGGAAAGCCACCAATGGACTCAGGAAGACCTGCCAAATCGAATGATATGCGACATGACCTCTTTCGACCAACTTCGTGACCTGGGGGCGCTGACCTGACCGTGACCTGAGGTCAACACTCTAAGTTGACCTGACCCAAACAAAAAGTATATCATTCGACGCGCCTGACCGAGGCAAACACGATGCTGCCAAAATCTCGGCTCTGCATCCGTTTATTGCGAAGTTATTCAACAAAACTGAACCGTACCTTGGGGCACTTGACCTGATCTCAGAGGTCACCGGTTGAACTAGGACCTTAAAATCGGGTACCAATCTCTGCGTCTCGTAACGGCGCACACGCTCGTTTTTTCCGCGACGCGCTAGCTCCACCAGGGGCGAAACGGTGAGGGGGGGGGGTCGTACCCGCCTCCTCCCCCCTCGGCCGGCGCGTATGTAGAAAACCAATAGGTCCGGCGAGGGTTAAGTAAACCTCTGCATGATTGTCGGTTATAAAATGATGCAAATCCGCAATGCACTTAGTGTCATATAAGCATAATGGGGAAATATGTTAACTATTAATTTGCCGTCGGAAATGATCTGAAACTATACCTCAAGCACATGAAATCGTGCTTCCTACATTCTTGGCAAGG